TTTTTCATAAACCTTTGAACAAAACAAGCTTATTGGACTGTTGCCGTAATCCAATCTTTCCTTTATGCAACTCATTTCTAGTGTACAGCTGACCATATGAGTGTAGACGCAATGTTAAATATTTTTCTATAATTTTTTTAAAAGCTGTGAAGAATGCATGTCTTTAGTCAAAATCTCATGTTCTAAATCATGCATATTTAGTTCAGTAAACAGTGCGTCATTTGCAAGTTTTTGATTTATAAAGTGCACCAGATAGGTTTTAAGATTTTTTTTAGAAGATATTTTTAAATTATGGGGGTCTGCCCCACACACCAAAACTTTAAAAACGTGCTCACATTTTTCAACAATCTTTAAAACACTACAGGATGGAAAGATTAAACCGCCTCAATTTTTAAAAGTTGTAAAACTTTTCCATGATGAACTGCAAAATATAGAATACTCATGATCAGTGGATAAAGTCTTCAGAGAAATTAAACTATTGGCACAAGTCAGACATGTAATTTTATTATAAAGTTTTCTTACAATGAACCCTGCAATATATCCAAGTATTGCTTCTTTATCAATTGAAGTAGACAACCAGCAAGGTCTTTAAAAAAGTTAGAATCCTCACTAGATATTATATTTTGCTCAACAAGAGGAGATCTCCTTTTACTCCACTTTAATAAAAAGATTGAGCCAGAAGATTTTTGGTCAAAAGTAAGGCAGTTGCTAAATTTTGGTCCTATGATAGAGTTTCTTAATAAAATTCTTTTTAAAGCAGATTTTAACTGACGTGCATCTGGATTGTTATTGAAACCATTTTTGCCTCGAATACAAGCAAATAATAATTCAACATGATCTTGTGACAGTTTATATGTTAAAATAAATTCAAAAGGATTATCATGTCTAGATAAAAGGTTAAGGGATAAATCTTTAACATTTGTGGCTGCTACAATGAAACCAAGTACAAATGTCTTTCTTCTGTGTTTAATTAAAGAAGTTTTAGATAGGTCTGATAAGTTAACCAAGTAATTTACAGATTTTTCTATGGTTTCTATCCATTTCGGAGCTTCATTCAAATTAAAGGTTTCTTAGATTCTTTTTCAAAAAGGTTTTTAGAGTTTAACAAGTCAAATAATTTATCTAAAGTTCTAATAAAATTAATTGTGCCTTGGGCATCAATAAAAGTTGGATGACCTGAGACCATCAAAAACTCTATAGCATCAGCAACTGAGCCGCTTAGCGTTTGAGCTGCAATTTTAACATTCGTTTTATGTCTGCGAAAGTCAATGTGGTAATTGCCAAGTTTGTTTGCAAACTTAAATCCTTCTTCTTCTTGCAGTTTATGCAATGCTTTAATATGGTCCCACTTTATATATTGATTTTGTTCATCAACAAAGATACCGATACTACACAGAGCGTTTCGAGCAAATTTAAGCATATGACAAGGATCAGGGATATAATATATAGGATGATCATATTCAGGATGGGGAAAACTACCACACATCTCTTTAATTTTACTTCCGAATGAACACCCAAGATTTTTCATTGCACTAAAGTTGGAAATAAGTCCATCACATATTATACTCCAAACATTCAGATTCTGAGTAGCACATAAATGTAAAGCATTTTTAATTAGACAACTTAAATCCGTTAAGGAGATTATATCACACAATATGTTGCTTATAGGACATTTCCAATGGCCTTTCAATCCAACAATCATAAAAATAAGTGCTTCTGTTGCTAATTTATCTGGGTCATAGGCTAGAATATTGTTTCCAAAACTAGAAAAACCTTCATATGATCCAGTAACATTATCATACCGCAGAGCAGCCCTAATATGCATAGAATCAAATATTAATGCGCAATCTTTGTATGATGAATCCTCAAATGTCTTACTTTGTAAAAACTTGAAAACATCTCCAAAAAACCCAGGCAAGCAATCTACAGATGAGGTCAAGTTTGAAAGTGAGCTTACGGCAAGTAATGAGAATGTAGATTTAACAAATTCATATGCTCTTGGAGAATAAAAGTGCAGTGTTAAAGCAAATTTTTTAACTTCTTCAGAGTATCTATAACCTTTTTTTTTTTGCCGCTATTTTTTAATTCAGATTTCAAAAGTTCTTTAGTCACTCCAGAGAAGTTGTTCTCCAGTAATTCAGCAACATCAATAGAAATATTTTTTTTTTCTCCAAGTTTTGAATAACTTTGCTAAGTGAAGCAATTTTTTTATCTTTTCGTTTAAGCTTTTGTTTTATTATTTTAATCTTTTTTCTAAGTAATAGTTTCTTTGGAGATTTTTGTTTAAGTATTTTTTTCTTAATAGTATTTGTAATTTCAGGCTCTGTTACCTCTTTATTCGAGATAGAACAAATTGTTTCACTATATAGCTGATTCCGCTTGTTATTTTTGTTCAATGATTCATGAAAGTCAAATATTGAAGGCACAATTTTTTTCAGCACACGTTTCCCAGTCACTCAAAATTTTCTAATTTAAAATGTTTACTGCAGATTCTACTATGTTTACTAGGTGTAATTTGTAAACATTTAGTTGCTGTTGCCCATTTTTTACATAAAATTTCATCATTTAAAGGGAATCTGTGAAAAGAAATTAAACTACTTTTATCAAATCTGCTTTTACAGTTGTAAACTGAACAATTAATAACCATGTTAATTATTTGTTACTCTAAAAAAATAAAAAGTATTGTTTTCAAAAATATATCTTTTATGTTTTATAAATACATACGCACACACTCAGACACATTATCCCAGACTTTATCATATATAATATCATATATAATATCATATATTATATTATATATGATATAATCTGGAGCGAGTCTAAATAAATGTCTCAGTTTAAAAATGTAAATATTTAAATTATATACTTAAAATTAATTAAGTTAAAATAGCATGTAAACTTATCCTATATATTTCTTTATAATAAAATACAATATTTCTAAGGGTTATATATACCCTCGTTATTCAAGTAATATTACTTGAATAACGAGGTTATATATAACCCTTAGAAATATTGTATTTTATTATAAAGAAATATATAGGATAAGTTTACATACTTTAACAGATATTTTAATTTAATTAATTATATAAAAACTTATAAAGATGTTAACTTTTAAAAACTATATACTTAAAATGCTTTCCGAAGGTTCAAAGTCTTTTTACTTTAAACTAAAATTACTAGCTTAGCAGTTATTTTTTATAATAGAAGGTTAAAAGTAACTGACGTTACTTTTAACCTACACATAAAATTATCCAATACTAAAGCATCTCACAATAATCATTCCAACCTGACTAACTTTTAAACCCATTTTCTGATTTAACTGACACAAATATTTTTTGTTTTGATTTTATTTTTGCTCTTTGTCATTCCGTCATAATTGTTAACCAATCAGATGCTGGTTGGCAAAACAAGTTATTAGCTAATCATATGCTGGTTGGCAAAAAAAATGTGCTTCACTTTTTTTCGGAAGTTAGACATCTAGTTAATATATATGATTGGTCGTTCGTATGATGCAGAATAAGGTGCACTTAAAGCGCATGCGTATCAACCGATTTTTGTAAAAATCAAAATCTTATTTTGAATTATATAAAAGACCATTAGCCCCCTCAGTGCATCTTATTTACCACTAAACTTTTTCCCGCTTTTTTAAAGACGTTCTACTATATGATGGCTTTTACAATTTTTCTTCTTAATAGTCACTACTGATGCATGGTCATTAACCGGTACCATTTTCTTACAAACACACACACATATATATATATATATATATATGTGTATACATATATATATATATATGTGTATACATATATATATATATATATACATATATATATATATGTATATATATATATAAATATATATATTAACATATATATATATATATATATATATATATATTAACATATATATATATATATATATATATATATATATATATATATATATATATATATATATATATATATATATATATATATATATATATATATATATATATATATATATATATATATATATATATATATATATATATATATATATATATAAATTTAAGTATATATTTATATATGTGTATTAGGATGTATATTTATATATGTACAAAATTCATATATATATATATATATATATATATATATATATATATATATATATATATATATATATATATATATATATATATATATATATATATATATATATATATGTATGTATGTATACATGTATATTAAAATAGTAGAAAGTCACTTAACAGATTTTTTTTTAATTTTAAACTGTGTTTTATCAACAAAGACTCATCAGAGTATTCTATTGAGTCTTTGTTGATAAAAGTTATTGTTAAGTGGTTTTCTACCATTTTATAGTTGCTCTGTTCTTTCAAGAAAATTGTGCACTCTATTTTGTAAAATACATTTTTTAAGTTTGTTTACATATATATATATATATATATATATATATATATATATATATATATATATATATATATATATATATATATATATATATATATATATATATATATATATATATATATATATATATATACACATGGTGTTAACCAGGAATAAATTTGATTCAGCATTTTAACGAAATTTGGAATTTGTCAAATTAAAGTATTTCTTAATCACCCCCCCCTCCCCTGAGAATAAAGTGTGTCCTGGGAAAGCATAGGGTCCTTTTTTGGTGTTCTTTTTCTTCTACACTACTTCAGCGCTGTAACATTGATTGATCAGCGCCAAAAGTAAAATAAAATACCATCTGTATCATTAAAGATGAATATGAAATCTACACAAAATTAGCTGTTGTTTCACAACGACACGGAAAACTAAGAACCAATTTCCAAACATATATTCGGAATGATATCTTTTTTTATTATAAATTAATCAGAGTATATTAATTATTGTTGAGAATAATTAATTTGTTTTATTTTTAATCTTTTTGTAATGTCACCGCTTTTATTTCAAGAGTATTATTTTGAATATATATTTCTTTTTCAATGTAATATAGTAAAATAGCGATCTCCAATGAGCCAATAATCTTCTACTTCTAATTATTATTTAAATTCTGCTCGATGTACTTTTTGGACGAACCCTTACATCATCATGTAATAAATTGTGTCATCAAAAGAAATTTTTTGAAAATAGGTAAGGTTTTAAAAATAGTAAACAAGAGCTCATAAACTTTATATTTCACATTTGTTGCAAGTTAAATTTTATAATTAATAATAATTTGTTTTATACATAAATCGCATTGCGAAGTAAAGTTATAATCAAAGTCTCACCAAAAACAATAACAAATGTCGTTTAATTATAGAGTAATATTATTAACAAGCAATTGCACACGTGGCATTGAAAAATACCAATAAAAAAGTAAAAAACTTTAGCAAATTTAGTATAAGATACAAAACAAAAAAAAGGAAAACAATAACTAAAAGACTTTCCGTAATAACCATAATTGATCAAAAGGTATCTGACATAACCTTCTTGATGTTTTTGTTGACGAAATACATGTACTATTTAAAGAAGAGGGTTAGGGTTAGGGTTTAGGGTTAGAGTTTACGGTAAGTCTTAATAAGTTATTTAACTTTTTAGGGTGAAACTTTTAAAGAAATAGCATTTGCCGGTGTTAAACCAAATAAGTTTGTTATTATTTTGGATCTTTTAGATTAGTACTTTATTTCTTGCTAACTTTTTTACATAATATTTGCTTTTGTTAGAATGTATTGCAAAAAACTATTTTCAAGCTTTATTGCAAGTTGCCTAAAAAATCCTTAAAATCGCTCCAAATATCCCAATTCTCATGATGTTTTTTCCAAGAAACCAATTTTTGCAGTTATGCAATTGCATTTTTATACCAATAATTGTGATTTGATTTCATGTTTTACGCAATTAATGAATTAGAATTTTTTAATGTTATTTTTCTATTAGTTTTGAATATTAATTAAATTTAAATTATTTTTAGAATTATTATTAAACTTTAATTTAGAAACTATCCTATATAATTTAGAAAATATCTGAATCTATAACATCATTTTTGCCACGTAAGCACATGTTTATTTATTGCATGTTCGGTTCTATATTTTTATCGCTTAATGTATACGTACTGGCGTAGCAAATAAACTATAATAAAGTTGATTTACATTAGTCTTAAGTGTGAAATGATAGTATATCCATGGTGACTGGTAAAGTTCATTTACGCCACTGTATTTTATACAAATTTCAATAAGGAAGAAATGCTACAGAAGCATGTAAAAATTTATGGAAAGTGTTTGGTGAAGGTACAGTTTCTGATAGGACATGCAGAAGATGGTACAAAAAATTTGAAACAGGTGATTTCGACCTTTCTGATAAGCCACGTTCTGGGCGACCATCTTTGATCCACGACAATGTTGTTAAGCCAATGTTGGAGCAAGATCCTTTTTTGACAACATCGGAGATCGCAGAAAGGCTTAATTCAGCTCAGTAAACCATTTCTGACCATATTCGAAAGATGGGATTAGTGTGGAAGTATTCAAGATGGATGCCACATGAATTAAGTCAGAAAAATTTGGACGATCGAGTTGTCATATGCACATCTCTGCTTGCTCGGAACAAAATCAAGCCCTTTTTGAACCGGGTGATAACTGGGGATGAAAAGTAGATTACATACAACAACATTGTAAGGAAAAGGGCATATTGTGAACCCCGGAAACCTAGCCCTTTTATCTCTATTTTAAAGACAGCAGTCCAAAAAATAGGCCAGCAATGTTCAATAGGAAGGACATCATACTGCACCACGATAACGCTAGACCACACGCTGCTTTATGGACAAAAATTGCAGAATTAGGCTGGAAACTTCTGTCACACCCACCATATTCTCCATACATAGAACCCTCTGATTATTACTTGTTTTTGTCCTTACAGTATTTTTTGACGGGCAAAAAATTCAAAAATTAAGAAAATGTCAAACAAGTACTGGTTCAATTTTTGGCATCTAAAGATAAAACATTTTTCAGAAATGGGATGTACAAATTGCCCTCACACTGGCAAGAGTTCATTAAAAATAATGGCAATTATATTACTCAATAAAGTTATATGGCAGTTAAAAAAATTTGTATTTTGTTTGATTCCAAAAACAGACAAAACTTTTTAGTAGACCTAATATATATATATATATATATATATATATATATATATATATATATATATACATACATATATAAAGATATATAAAGATATATATATATATATATATATATATATATATTTATATATATATATATTTATATATATATATATATATATATATATATATATATATATATATATATATATATATATATATATATATATATATATATATATATATATATATATATATATATATATATATATATATATATACATATATAAAGATATATATATATTTTACAGGAAAGAGTAGTTTAGTCTACAAACGTTTTTTAATACAGGAAAGCAAGATGAAGGAAGCGAATTCCAAAGAACTGATGTTCGAGGAAAAAAACTAGAAGAATAAGAGTTTTTGAAGCACTTAGGAACAGTCACAGAAAAAGGATGAGACTTAATTGAATGGCGAGTAACACGAGAATGAATTTTAGTAGATGGCACAAGGGACGCTAGCTCTTTAGAGCAGTGCCCATTATAGTATTTGTAGAAAAGAGAAAGAGAAGCAACATTACGACGATGTGACAAAGATTGGAGATTGGCTGCCAGAGCAGGTCCAACTATGTTTACAATTCGTTTTTGCACCTTGTCTAAAAGAGAAAGAGCATCATTAGAAGATCCGCCCCAGATGTGGCAACAGTATTCCATACAGGAACGGATTTGAGATTTATAGAGATAGAGAATAGAATCTGGAGTAAGAAAGTGTCGAGCTCGATAAAGAGATGCAACCTTAGCAGATGCTAATTTTGCAATGGATTTGATATACGGTTTAAAAGAAAGATCAGATGTAAGAGTTAATCCTAGAAGATGAATGGTAGATGACTCATCTAGTACATTACCATTCATAAATATAGGAAGATCTAAATTATTACGATAACGATTGGCCGAATAAAATTGAGTTTTATCTGATTTAAAGTTCACCAGCCACTGTGAGCCCCATGCTGTAGCAGAAGTGAGATCCTTTTCAAGCTCAGATACCCCCTCCAAGCAATCAGAGAGTGTAGGCTTCTTATCATGACAAGAGTAAATGGTAGTGTCGTCAGCGAATAATGCCACCTTAGATGTGAGAATATCTGGAAGATCGTTAATGTAAATTAAAAAGAGTATAGGGCCAAGGATTGAACCTTGAGGAACCCCTGAAGTTACAGGATGTGAAGAAGAGTGTTGTCCATCGAGGACAACTTTTATACTACGATTGGAAAGAAAGGACTCAGTAATCTTAAAGACGTTACCAGCTACACCATAAGAAGAAAGCTTATGGAGAAGACCAGCATGCCAAACTTTATCAAAAGCTTTAGAAATGTCAAGTGCGATAGCCTTAACCTCTCCACCTCTATCTAATGCACGGTAAAACCTATCGGTTATTACTGTTAGCACATCAGCTGTAGAACGAGAAGACCGAAATCCATATTGATGATCAGAAAGTAAGTTATTTGATTCAAGATGAGAGATTAAGTGTTTGTTGATTAAAGATTCAAAAACCTTGCTAATGACAGGAAGAAGACTAATGGGACGGTAGTTAGATGAATCAAATCGCTCTCCGGAATTTTTGAAAATAGGGATAACAGATGCTGCTTTCCAGCATGATGGAAAACAAGACTCTGATAAGCACTTGTTAAATAGTTTAGAAAGTATGGATGAAAGCTCCGGAGAACACCTCTGCAAGACAACAGGAATGTTGTCAGGACCACAAGCTGTTGAAGAGTCTAAGCAGGAAATTACTTTAGATACAGAAGCTGAAGTGATGCGAATGTCAAGCAAGGGATCAACCTGTTTGACGGCTATGTCAGGTAAAACACAACTAGTGGAATCAAGAGATGATATTGATGAAAAGTTCTTAGCAAACAATTCAGCTTTGTCTTTAGGTGAGGTGACAAAGTCTGAACCATACAAGAGAGAAGGAATAACAGATTTGCCCTTATTATTGATACTGTTAAAGATTCTCCAGAAGTCTCGAGAGCCTAATTTTTGTGATGAGACACGAGATTTAATGACCTGGGAATAGCGAGCTTTGGCGTCAGACAAAACCTTTTTACAATGGTTTCTGGCGATAGTGAACAGATGTCTGTTTTCTGGAGAATTGTTTTGCTGATAGATATGGAAGTAACGGTTTCGATTAGAAATTGCTGCAGCGCAATGTGAGGAAAACCAAGGAGAAGAGTGAGGCTTGACCTGGAATCGTAGAGAGGGAATAAAAGATTCCATGCCAGCCTGAATCCACGAAGTTATGTAAGAAGCACATTTGTCAGCAGGAAGACGAAAGATTTCTACCCAAGGGCCATCACGAAGAAAATCACGGAAAGAGTCCCAGTCAGCTTTAAGGTAGTTGTATGTGGTACGATGATAGGGGGATTCTGATGAAGTAGAAGAATTTGATAATAGTTTTAGAGAGATCAAACCGTGATCAGAAGTACCTAAGGGTGAATGTGGAGAAATTGAGCACTGACTAGGATCCAAAACAAGACATAAGTCAAGTAGAGAAGGTAAATGATTAGGGTTGTCTGGAAAACGAGTTGGAAAGTTGACTATTTGAGTTAGAGATTGAGAAAGGCAAAAGTTGAGGGCCTTAACGCCAGCAGAGTCACTGTTAAATTTACATAAAACGTAAAAGAAGATAAATAATATTTTAATATTATTAGTTATTAACCAATATTTATAAATACAAGGTTCTTTTTTTAATTTACAAATACTAACTTTATGTAGATATTTAATAAATGTAATGTAAATTGAAAAAAAAAAAACAATAATAATTTTGTATTTAAATTCATTTTTTTAATTTAAATTCCTAATTTTACTAGATATTTAAATACGCTGATTAAATTTAGTTGCTGCCTCGTGCGGTGAAAGAATCTTGCTTTGCCCCCTAATTGCCTTTGACACTTATTTAAATTAAAGTAGCATTTTGCAACAAAAGTTCTTTTAACAAACATTAAATTTGGCAGAAATCGGCGAGCCAACCAAGTTTTTCAATTAAAAGTTAT